TTTTGAAGGAGATATTCGTTTAATCTATTGTAAACTATTCTTTCAAGTATTTTAGAGAAAGTAGGCCTGTTTTAAAAATTGGAATAATTTTAGCTGTTTTCAACTTATCTGGTACAGTACCTGTTTTAATTGATGATTTAAATATTTCAAAGATCGGTTTGCGTATCTCCAAAAAGGCATCGATAACGATATTGATACAAATACCATCTATACCTGGAGATTTATTTATTTTAAGAGATTTTATCGCAACTTCAAGTTCTTCAATTTTTAGTTCGCTAAATGCTAATTCGTCATTGTTATTAGTTAAGTATGTCTCAAATGAGTTGTTTGGACAATTAATTTTTGTAGCCAGGTTAGGGCCTATGTTAACGAAAAAATTGTTAAACTTTTCTGAGATTACGTCACTACTGAGATACTCTTCATTATTTATAACAACTTTAGTAGGTAAACTATTTGGTTTGCAATTTTTGTTCCCAATTATTTCTTTAATTACGTCCCACGTTTTTTTAATATCACCTTTGGAGTTTTTTATTTTATTTGAGTAATAATTCTTTTTTGAAAACTTTTTGATTTTTTCAAACAAATTTTTATATTGTTTGTAAGCATTTAGGTTTGCTCCATTTCTATTTTTTAAGTATTTGATATTAAGTTTTTGTTTTTTTTTTTTTGAAGATTTTTTAATTCCTTTGGTGATCCACGGACATTTTAGATGTTTTTTTTTTACTAGCATTACTTTTATTGGGAAATATTTATTATAGTTTTTTAAGAAAATGTTTTCAAAATTAGTGTAAGCAGAGTTGGTGCGTCCAAGGTTACATTCTTGGTATACTTTATCCCAGTTTATTGCCGATAGTGATTCTTTAAATTGTTGAACAGCATATTTGTTAATTTTCCTTTTATGAATTTCAATTTTACAGTCGTTATTAGTTTTTGTATCGTGTGACAGAGAAAAGAAAATCGGAAAATGATCCGATATATCTGTTTTTATAAACCTGCTTTTAAAGTAACATCAAGAACTGTATTTGTTAATATATTGTCTATTGACGTTACTGATGATTGAGTTACCCGAGTCGGCTTATTAATAATTGGGAAGATGTAATGTTGGAGCATTTCATCAAAAAAAAAATTAGTTTTGGCATGTTTATCGTATTGTAAGCACTCAATGATAATGTCTCCAATACAAAATAGTTTTTATTGTTCATTGTTATTTTTATAAAAAATTTGTTTTAAATGATTAGAAAATTTTGTTATATCACCATCAGGTGGTCTATAACATGTGGAGACTATGTGTTTTTTGATTTGTTATTTGTTGTCATCTCAATTGTAAAGACCTCACTATCGGCATCTGAGGTAGAAAGGTCATCTCTATATTTGGTGGTTTGATCAGTTCGAATATAGTTAATAATTCCCCCTCCCCTTTTGTTAGTTTTTCTTTCAGAAGATATTAATTTGTAATTAGGAATTTCTAAGTTTGAAAATATTCTGGACGATTCGTCAGAACACCATGTCTCGGTTAAACAAATTATATTGAATAAATAATTGCAATCGGTTAGAAATTGCTTAAGCTTATCAATGTTGTTATTTATGCTTCTTATATTTATGTGTAATGCTGTGAATTTATTCCTTAAAGTTGTAAGTTTAGTTTTAAAAGTTTCTGTTTCAAAATATTGAGAACCAAAATTTATTCCGCGAAAAATCTGCGCATCTGCGTCATTCAAATCGTTGAGTATAACATTATTTGCTGTTTCGAAGACATTAAAGTGCAGCGTTTCAAAATCTATTGTTTCGTTATACGTTATGCTTAAAATGAGAAATTAAAAGCGCTTTGAAAGAAAAAAAAAATTTAGAAAAATACGCATCGCTACTTTTTAAATCTCGACTAAATATTTTATTATATTTTAAAATGGCGTATTTACCTTGACTTCGAAGTCGTTTCACTTCTTCCCAAAGTTTCCTTCGTTGTTCAATCGTTTCTTGCGAAAAGTCCTTGTTAATATACACACCAGTCCCTTTAAGATTTTTTACAGCATTAAGGATTTTGTTTTTATCCTGGAAATTTAAGAGTTTTAATACTATTGTTCTAGGTTTTTTATTATTAATTGGGCCAATTCGATGGGCTCTTTCAATAACCACTTCGCTTGATATTTTAAGATTTTTATTAAAGATTTCTTTCACTACAATTTCACACTCGCTCCAACTTTCTCCTGGTTTTTCTACTAGTCCATCTATTCTGAGATTATTTCGACGTGATCGATTTTCCAAATCTGTTGTTCTTGTGTACAATACGTTGATTTCATTGTCGAAGTATTTTTTAATTTTTTTAAGTTTTTCTAAAGTTTTTTTTTCTTGGAAATTTAGACTATCTTTAACGTCGTTAAGATCCTTTTCTATATTTTTAATTTTTGATTTGTTTTCTAAAATTTCTTTCTCCATCACGTTAAGTTTATCTGATATGATTTTAAGGTTGCCACTTACAATTAAAGTAAAAGTTTTCTCTTGTTCCTTGAGTAGCTTTTCTGTTTCCTTTAAAATACTTTTCCTATGTTCATCTAATTTATTTGATATTAGTATTTCAATGTTTTTAATTGTGATTTCCATTGCTTTTTTATTTACTTAAAACACGTCTTACTCCCGTAGATTATGCCGTAAGGAGGGCCCTCATTGTTTTCGATTCCCTAGGGATGCACATATACTTATCATAGTTTAATCGGCTGTTTAGACCAAGAAAATAGAGATTTTATTTAATTTTAAAAAACTCAAAAATATATAACATATTTCATTAGCCTGATCGTTGTTTAGTTTAGTAAAAAAGATCTTAGTCAATGCGCCTAACAAGACTAACCCTAAACCCGCCCCTGTATAAAATCATATCTTCTTATTTTTTCAAATCAGTTCTTAAATGTCATTTTAGTATTTTTTTTAAATTTTGTTTCTTTTATTTTACAAAACAATTCTTAAATCTTATTCTTTGAAAGACTATAAATTTTAAACGCCATGCGGTATATTTACATTTTCTTTTATAATATTAAATTAGAGATATATACATTAAAACTACATTTTATAGTTAAACTATATTTTATCTAGTAATGACGTATTTTTTGGGGCTTGGTGATAAGGCTGAATTTGTCTTCTTCTTGCCCCGGTTATGTAAATATTTTCAATAAGTTACGACTGTAATTTTTTTTTTTCTTATAAGGCAAAAAGTGTAAAAATAAGTGAATAAATCTTCAATTTTAGCCGGAATCGTGCGAGATAAATTAAAAATTGCCAATATTCAAAATAAGCAAACCGGATAGTTATTTCCATTTAATGATTACACACTTATCTCAATCCTTTCTGTCTTTCCTAAACTTTTTAAACTAATAGTTTGAAATGAGTTATATAAATATCTAACATATATTTGTAACAAAAACTTGGATTTTAAAGCAACAATCGACCGAACATGTAACATTAAATCTTTTAAATAGCATAAATGACTCTTTTGATAATAAAAAACTTGTTTTAGGAATCTTTATTGACCTATTAAAAGCATTCGACACTATTGATTATGCTATACTGCTTTAAAAATTGGGAAAATATGGAAATTATGTTGTTTTACACTGGTTTAAGAGCATTTTGATAAACAGAGAACAATGTGTTATGATAGATAAAAGTATATATTTAAAGTTTCTCAAATAAAACGTGACATTTCCCAAGGTTTCATTCTAGTTCCCATACTTTTATCCAAATGTCAGGAACCATAAAACCGCAAAAAAAAAAAAAAAAAAAAAAAGCCACACATTACTACTGAGTAGTAAAGCGTGGTTGCTTTTTAATTTCTACAGAGGAGTAGCAATGGGGGAGCAGGTGGAGCATTCGCCCCGAGCGCCATGCTAAGTAGGGCGCCAAAAAGGGGAAAAAATAATAAAAATAAATAAATTCACAATTCAGATTCAGAGCCAACAACTGTTTTTTTGTTCTTTTGTTCTTTGACTAACAGTCAAACGACTACAAGATCCCACAATGAACTTTAAAGATGTAGCATTTAATATGGATATGTTGGAAAATTATCTCAAAGAATTTCGTGTTTATTTGTACAAAAATACAATTGAGTATAGCAAGGGCAGATGATGAAAATCAAGAAATTTTGGAGCAATAATGTTAGGATCTGGAAAATTTTTACGATACAAATATCAATAGAGCAGAATTATTGACTGAAATCGCAGACTTTCAGATGCTATTTAAATCTCGTGGGAGCCCAATATCATCAACTTCGCTGGATTTACTTTCATTTATTTCGTTATGTCGAGATGACGTTTTTCCAAACTTACGCATTGCATTACAAATCTTGCTCACAATTGCAGTGTCAATAGCCAGTTGCTAACGTTCCTTTAGCAAGTTGAAGTTTATTATTTCATATCTACGAGCTTCAATGGGGCAACAACGTCTTGTTGATTTGGCAGTTCTTAGTATCGAAAGATAAACTCTGGAATCAACAGACTTTAACAACATAATAGATAAATTTGCTGCAGATAAAGCTAGAAAGATTAAATTATAATTTATAAATAGTTATTGATTATTGGATCTGATTAACCATCTGTCACTTTCAATGACTAATTCACATGAACAATAATGGATACGTAATTGGAAACATAAGTTAAATTGAGTTTGCATTATGATTAGCATTTGCATTTTTTTAAATAAAATTGACATATACTTGCAAATATTAAGTGTTTTTTTTATGTCTGCTTCAGCGGGCGCCAATTTGCAGTATTGTCCTGGGCGCCTGAAACCCTAGCTACGCCACTGAATTTCTACTTTATCATTAAAATAATAAAAATTAACATTATAATTAGTGTAGTATTATTATTGATATTATACGATAATTTTATTTGTTCAACATAATATCTATTTAAGCAATTTGTGTTACTTTATTTTCTTTAAATCAAACGCTGCAGGGCAAATTTTGAAACATTGAGACGGACTTTACACAAAATTGTTTGCAGTAAATCAAAATTACATTTACTATTGAGAATTTTATTAACGTTATTTAAAAACATTATGCTTGTCATGAGATCCAAGCCTGTTGGTATATTGCTGAATGTTACATGTTTTAACATTTTGATAAGCATTTGTGAAATATGGTCACAATCCTCCTTCAAGCTTTATCCATGACAACTAAAAAAAAAGTTAGATTACATGATAAATGATTTATACCCTCCATAATATATTCCATTGTCAAGGGCAACACAATATGGCTGTACTCAGTTAATCAGAAACCAATAAAAACTTACCATATTTTTTGAATGCTTTTAAACTTCAGAATATTGCAAAAGTAAAAATAGGAAACGGTGTATGGCAGAGATTCTAAGAACAGGATCAACAGTTCAGGAGACTATGCATTTATAAGAAACTATCCTTGCTATAATAACCACTAATAAAATTAAAAATGGAGATATTTAAAATTTATGATAATCACAATATAAATATAATAAATATTAAAATACTCAAACCTTGTTAAATAAAATGATTTAATCTTAAGACAACTGCAAACACTAAGCATACTATCATGCGTCCACAATAAATTTAATTCAGAAAAGTCATTATATTATCTTTCAGTGTCGACTAAAATTATCCACTTTATTAGGTTTCCTTTATTACGTTGTTGAAGCCATTTTTTATTTTATGCGCTGAAAGATAAATGTTGTATATAATAATTTATTATGGTCATTAAAAATATTTAAAATGCAAAATTAAAAATAATAAACCCTAGTGGAACTGCAATAATAAAAATATGAAGACTTTTTATTAATTTTTTTGTTAAAAGATAAATATATTTCTTAACAAATTTAAAATCCATGCTTTCAGAATGGTGCATATTTTTAAAATCCTTTTTTTTTTTTTTTTTTTTTTTTTGAGTCTGAATATACAAAAATTTCTAGCCTACTTATGGCTAACCATCAGGCTCTTAAATCAATAGAATATACCAATTTCATACACAAAGACTAAATTACTCACATTCCCCAATAATGAAATGAACTTACTCGTGCTACTATTACTAATGCTGACACCGTCAGTGTTTATTAATATCTCAAAGGTACTACCATTATCCAAAATATTATTTTTTTAATTAAAGTTATTGTATTATTAGTACTAATGACCTGGAGGAGTTTCACGTACCACTAATCTATCTGTTTTTGCCAACTCATTAGTGAAACACAGGTGCTTTTTAAACAACTTTAACAGTTTATTGGTTGCTCTTTAAGTTAGAGTGGACTTAATCTCAAATGATGTCAATTCTTGTCTAATATTCACTTCTTCGTTGCTTGAAAAAAAGGCAGCTACATTTGGTAAATTATCTGGTATATGAAATGGAGATGTTTTAAGAAATAGTGTTTGGGAAAAGACTGGTTGGGATGGTGGTATCTAAACAGGTTGCAATATTGGTAAAGGCGAACCGATGAGTTAATGGAGAGATACTTCAGTTTCCAAAATCTTAAAATCTACGTTATCACAACTCGAGTCTGTATCAGAACTATACATCATTTTAACTTGCTCTATTTAATCTCTTGTAGGCCTGTGAGCATAAGACAGCTAAGAAATTCTCTTGTGTATATTTATGTGCATGATAGCTAACGAAAAAAAATTCTCTTGTGTTTATTTGTGTGCATGATAGCTAACGAAAAGAAACTCTCTTGTGTATATTTGTGAGCATGATACCTAATGAAAAGAAATTCTCTTGTGTATATTTATGTAAAGTAATGTTTTATTATTGATATAAAAAAATGTGAACGTTGGTTAATGCATATTTATGTAATTATAGTCAAAACTTTAACATTACATTTAAAATATAGCAAACAATAATTTTACTAATACTTTATTATATTTTTTATTTTGTTTTATTTAGTTAGTTAAATCATCGAAGTATAAAACAGACGGAGGTTCAACTGCATTGAAATTCTTCGGGGCTATGCTCGTAGCCTTTTGTTTCGTAAACAATAAGAAAACGATATCAAGACTGTACTTAAACGCCTAATCTTTATACGTTGACGCAAATAGGTACGTTTATGATAATTTAAATATAAAGGTTCGCCAATAATATTCAAGAAAAACATTAAAAATGGCGCAATAAAACGGCATACAACAACTTTTTTATAAACTTCATATTAAATGAATGGAGTACTACAAAAATGAATGGAATTATGATATACAGCTAATAAAACTTTAAACTTTAGTTATTTAGAAAACAATTTTTAATAAACCTTTTGCTGAATAATGGCAATTACTAATGGTTAAAAATTTGCAGCATATCCCGAGAATAATTCATTTTTTGATGTTTTAGTAAAGATCATTTCAGTGAATTTTGTTGTTTTTTTATCCAGTGAAACTTGTTTTTTTTAATTGTCGGTTACAAGCATACTCTTTTGTACTCTCATACTCATTTATTCATTTCACAATCAAGTAATCCACTTCACAATGAAAGTGCTTGCGATGACAGTTGTTTGTTGGGGTGTTAAGTGGAGCAACATTCCAGCTAACTAGTTAATGCTGTTCTCAATTTCGTATTTTTGGATGAGGTCTCCGCGTGAACGTCTATCGAGTAGTGACGAGTTTGATGCATCTCGTCTCGTATTCGAAGCGTTTCATTTCATGTGGTACTTTGGTAGCCTGATGTTGGATACGTTTTATGGTATTTATGTTTTTTCTAAGCTACGGGCACCAGATGGTAATTGTGAACTGGAGAAGTGGGCGTATAAAGGTGGTGCAAAGCTTTTTCCACATTTTTGTGTCTCTGCTGATAAAAGTGTGTTTTAAGATTCCAAGGACATTATAAGTCTTGACAGTGGCACGTTCGGCTTGATTCTCATGCTTTAAGTTGTTGGTAATTTAAACGTCAGGTCTTTTTTGGATGTTGTTGACTCGAGTTTGGTTCTGTTATATTCATTATACTCGTTCATTGAGTAAACGTGTAGCGAAACATTGTTTTTGTTAATGTGCATATCATTGCATTTCTTGAAGTTGAGCTCCATCAACCAGGTTCGAGTCCAGGTTACAATGCTATCCATGTAAGCTTTTAGACAATAAGCAGTTTTGAAAACGCTCAGAACATTAGTATCGTCTGCGTACATTTTACAGATGCTTTGGTTACTAACGTGTTCAGGTAAGTCGTTAATGAAGATTATGAATAGCGTAGGATCTAGTACTGAACCTTGTGGAACGTGGTGACATTCTTAATTAGGTGAGGTGTTATCTAGAAGAACGCGTTGTGATCTATTTGAAAGAAAAGCTTTATTCCAGTTAATAATTTTATCTTCAGTTCTGTAGGATTCAAGTTTGTAATATTCTTTTTGAGGAACTTTATCGGTAGCTTTGGCGAAGTCAAGAAAGATCACGTCTGCAGAAAGTTTATGAATTACGCTTAGAGAGTCCATGGTCTCAAACTGATTCGTGATGCAAGCATTTTTATTGATGAAGTAGTGTTGACATTTCAGCAAAACGTTTGTTGGCTACAATGTACTTGTTCTTTACCATTTTTTCTATTATTTTGCATGGTACAGAGGTGCTGTAGATTGGCCTGTAATTTGCTGGGTCAATTCTCGAGCCTTTTTTGAACAGTGACGTTACGTTTGCCAAAAGCCATGGAGTGATCTGAAAAATCATAGCAAGTGGGGCAGCCACTTTGGCACATTAAGCACAAATGGGCTAATATGGTCATCTCCAGTAAATTTGTTGGTGTTGAGAGCCAATAAGTGTTTGTGAATGGAATCATAAGTGAAGATAACGGACGAGATTAAAACGGTTGCGCGTTTGACAGTATATCGTTTTTTGATAAATGATTAAAGAGCCTGTTACATATTATTCTTTCAAGCAGTTTTGAAAAATACCGTAAGATTTTATATCTATCTTAGATAGATATAAAGTATAATAAACCTATAATTAAAAATAATTATATAATTAGAATCATTTTTGGTCTTAAAAACCGACGTGATCCGCGCAATTTTTAGTTTTTCCTGGATACCTTTTTTAAAAGAAAGATTAAAAATGTGAAGCCAAGACAATTTGATTATATTATAAACTTATTTTATAACATTAACGTTAGTTTTATAAAATCCAGCACTTTTGTTAGTTTTGAGATTATAAAAGTTGGTTCGCAATTCAATTAGTTTTAGATTAAATTCATCCGTAACTTTATCGTAACTTTTTAATTACTTCTTAACCAATTACTTCTTTAATCACATTCCAAGTACTTTTGATGTTTCCGTTGGCTTTATCTAATAGCTTTGCATAATAGGGAGAGATATAAAAATATATATTTTCTCTCCCATATCTTTTATGGAATAGATATGAGATTTTTTGTCATGATATGAGAATAGATATGAGAAAATTCCATGAAAAAATATATATTATTTACCAGTAGCCATTTTTACTTTTTGTTCCTTAATACTTTTCTTTTGCTGCTTGTCCTTTAAAAAATCTTTCATTGGAGAACTAGTGATAATAGTCGAATGTTTCTTTTTTAGATTTTCTCTGGTTTCCTTTTTGGCAAATTAGGTACAGAAACAATGTTTAAAAGAGATATTGGCTGATTTGATCTAATTGAGACCAGTTCAGGGGCTACATTCATATCAGGTGACAGACCTACACTAGAAGGATTCAATGACAGATTAACTAACACTTCAGATGATTTGGCTTGATTATCTGATTGATTTATTGTGTTTACCAGGAATTTTGAACTCTGAATGTTATCAAGTAATGACGTTTCAGGTGTAATGATAGTGATTGGAAATAAATCATTGAATTTTGTGGGATTTAACGGATAAATACCAGCTGCTCGAAATCCATTGGCTACTTTTTCAATATTGCTGAGACGATTAAAAGCTTTTGTAAATAGTTCAACAACTACATATTGAGTAATTCTTCGGCCTATGTTTGCTGCCATAAAAATGTCACATTCCCTGTTGTATTCAGACCTAAGTGGGCCAAAGTATGTTAAATCTAATGGTTGCATTCTATGGGAAGTGTGTGGTGGAAGGGATAACAATACAATTCCATTTCCACGGCAGAGTAGATAGCAGTCAAGGTTAATATGGCTCTCATGGTTATCTAGGACTAATAACACAGGTTCGTCTTTGGTTGGTTTAGCAAATGAGATAAAGTGGTTATCCCAGTCCACAAATAAATTAGCGGTTTTGTTTTTGAACGAATCTTTTATTTTATAATAAGATATATGAAAATTGCTTTTGAGTGTTTCTAGACGAATGGTTAGACTAAATAATAACGAATAAAAATCATCAATATATAGTAATAGTTCTCTTTTATTCTCATTCCCGCCTTAGCTGTTCGCCAATACCCCACTCTCCCCTAAAGCTTTTAAGAGTTTCTTTTATTTTATATCTCATTTTGTTTTTTTATTTTTATATCTCATTTTGTTTTTTTATTTTTATATCTCATTTTGTTTTTTCTTTTTATATTTCATTTGGTTTTATATCTCAAAATTTTTTTTTAAATATTTCTCATATAGTTTTCTTTTTAAGGATATTAGTAACTCAGAAGACATTCATGAAGTTAAAACCGCTTTTGTATTTACAATCTTTTTTTTTCAGGAAACGCTGTTTCATATTGTTAACCCAATTGTCAAAATATATATCATATAAGACGTTAACATCGTTTGATTGTAATACCAGATTCCAATCAAAGTTCTTTCTTAAAA